CGAGGACGTGATGATGTCCTCACGCGGTCAGCTAGAGGACATGAACGAGGAATTCGAGGACACCATGGTGATAGATTTGGTAAGAATTTACAGATGTCCTGAGCTCTGTTTTCGGAGTTCTTTAGTGCATTTGTAATGTTTCTGGTGACAGCCAAGACTACGGTTCATATTACAACATCTGTTCATCTGTAAGATTAGATCTTTGAGGCCATTTGTCCGTTCTGCATTTTAGCCGGCGTCAAGAAACCGGAGAGAAAGAGCTGAACTCAGACCAGACTTTTTTGACTCTACGGCCATAATGGAAGATGATTCTGTAAGTGCACCTTTAAGATATTCAAATGTAAATTAGATGCATGTATAACAATGTAACTTGTTTTGTAGGATTACCAAATGTAAATGTTCAACAGAAAACCCTGCTTTGTTTTAAACGTCATTCTGAACATGCTTTTTTAATCAGTGCTATTGAGAAGGAAGTACTAATCGGTTTATCTTGTTGTCTTCTTCCTCTAACAGGGATTCGGAATGCAGATGTTTTGAGAGAGATTTCAGCCTTTATGGGGGATCACAACCAGCAACCTACAAGAATCTCATCTTAAATATTTATTTTGTGTTTTAATAGCAGTTTCACACAACTGTACGCAAGCATGTGAGCTTCCTCTCTTAGTTTTGTGGTCGGCCATAATCCCATTGTGAGCCTTTCCTGTCATTCAGCATTTCCTCAGTTCATAAGGACCAAAAAAGCCTGTAAAGTCTGTAATCTGCTGGTCTTACATTGGTGTTAGTTTCAGAAACATCTCAGCAGTATTGGCTCCTATTTTTCATATCATCCATCGATATATCCGAGCAGATGTGGCTTGATCAGACATTGCTCGGACAGACGTTTCGTGACTCTTGCTTTCGAGCTATTTTAAGATTATCACCCGTTCATGTTCTGGTTTTGTTCAGGGTGAAATTTAGAAAGCTTTCATGTTAAAGCCGTAATTTTCTTTTCAGGTTTATACTATTGGCCTTAAAAATGTATTATGGCTTGAATTTGGTGTTAGATTACTTGATTCATCAGATTAATAAAAGCTAAGCCCACATTTGTTCTTTTTAAAACTAAAAATATTCAAATATATGAGGATATTTGAGGAGGAAGTACACAGAAGTATTCATTACTTCAGACACTGGTCATGTGTTTTATATGAACCTTTTGTTGAAGAACTTGTTTGTTCTCATTTTTAAGACATGTTTACCTCCTCTGTTTAGAGTCTGCTCAGTGATTTACCTTTTTACTGTGCGTTTGTGGAAACATTGTAGCTTTCACACAATACTGTATTGCTGTGAACATGTATTGGTGGTTTATTGGGCTTTTAGGTCCATCTGAATATCCACAGAGCAGGTTTTGATGAAGAGTGATGTCAGAACCCTTGTTCAGACCGGTGCTTTTAGATAGTTCTGTTTCGAGACGCCGATCAAACTGGGATTGTCATTTATTTTAACCTTTTCACTGTTTAATCTTTGCTTTTTAAAAAAAAAAAAAAAAGTTTAAATAAAAGTATTTAAAAAT